GCACTTGTTACTAGAAGCGATGCACTTGTTCCTAATAGCTTCTTGTTCCTAGGCATCACAGCAGTCAACATTCCTTTTGGCATTGGTCAACTCTTTTTTCCCATGTTGCACACATGTCGCGCATGGTTGCCAATGAAACTCAGCGCCAAGAACGCTAGTAGGTTGGAGGCCATCGCTCTTAGGTTGGGGGGTCACTCAAAAGAAGATTGCTTTTTTTCTTTAGTGAAGTTGAAGTCGAAGTGAGGTGCCGATATATTCCAGAGAGTAAGCTTTCTCAGGTGGAGAAGGCCCAACGCGAGAAGGGACAGTTTGAGCTTTTTGTGCTGTGTGAAAGGATCTTGTAGTAACAAGAAGCTATTAGAAACAAGTGCCACGCTAGTAGTAACAGGTGCCTTACTAGTAGTAACAAGGATCTTAAACTGAGGACATTTTCAACGACCTGATATGACCTGCATGTCTTCGCCGTTCTTTCCGCTGTTTCCAGTTCAGGTCCGTCCAGAGTGTGACTTGTAAACGACCTTGAAAGTCACGGGCTTGAGACCCAACAGATTTAAGGAGCTTCTTGTTCCTAGTAGCGAGGCCCTTTGCTCCTAGCAGCGTCCTTGCTCCTAGTAGTAAGGCCAGGAGCCCCTTTAGTGGCGTCCTTGCTCCGTTCGTAGCGATGCCCTTTGTTCCTAGATGATTTGTTTGTAGCACAAACTGCCACAAATGGATCTGTCTCATGAGGGACATGAGTGACATTCAACTGCCTTGCTCTGCCTCCCGGAGCCATGGAGCCAAGTTGGATTTCCAAAGTGGCAAAGCACAAGAGGAACGCTAGTAGGAGCAAAGGGCATCGCTACTAGGAACAAGGGCCTTACTACTAGGAACAAGAAGCTAGTAGAAACAGTATATAAATTAGAATTTAATTGGAATAATAAATAGAATTAGTAGTAAAGGAGGCTACTAGGACCTTTTTTAAATGGCCGCTCTGCTCCCCTACCTAGCCGCGATGGGCCTCCACCCTGTTAGATCTAAAAACTGCTTGCTCTAAAGAGTGTGGACAATGGATTGGTGATTTTGATCAGGCGACTTCGTTTGTTCCTATTTTGCCCGACCACTCCGTGTAAGTCCCTCTCTGTGAATTCTCCAACCCAGCAATGGCCTCCAACCTAGTAGCGTCCGATCGCTCCTAGTAGCGATGCCCTTTGTTCCTAGTAGCGAACATTGCTCCTAGTAGTAAGGCCAGGAGCCCCTAGTAGCGTCCGATCGCTCCTAATAGGAATGGCCTCCATCCTAATAGCTTCCTTCATTCCTTCTAATAGCTTAAACGTTTTTTTACACAAATCAAAACATTAACCTCTGTCCGGAGAGTGGCATCAGCACAGAGTGCCCGAAACATTTCTTGCTCCTCCAGGCAGGGCCTTTCGGCCGTTTCCCCTGTGTGTTTTAAAAGGGCCTTTCAAAAAGGCCGCTCTGCCCTCCTACCTAGTAGCGTTGGCCTCCAACCTAGCAACGGCCTCCAAGTATGCGCTTTGTGTGCAGCAGTCCTGCACGAACATGAGACAAGTTGTACAGAAAATGCATTATAAACACGTAACTGTTATCATGTTTGGTGCATTGGTCTGATCTTGCCAAGAGCCACCGATTTGAAGCTCTGAAGACGGTGTTTGACATGTTGCGGAGCCCTTCGCTTCCCTTCCCTTCACTTCCTTTTCTTCAAACTGATTCGTTTGGCCTGGGAAATCACACCCTTTGTACATGCCGCCCTTGCTTTCGCACACACTCCGGGTGGAAGATGAACCATTTTGGGTGAAGCTCACCCATTCGAACTAGGAACCTGGTCAAAAGAAGCCACAACACAAAATACCAGTTACTATGATTCTAGCGTACTAGTTGTGTAGGAACGTGTGGTAGCAGTCATCGATTTGCACAACAAAAAGAAACAAGGATGAACAGAAAGAAAAGAGTTGAACGACATCCGGGCAAAAATGGACGGTACATAAAGACACAGCGAAGATTTTGCTTAACACCTCAAGCCAAAAGTCGTCATGAAAGTAGCAGTTTTCATTTCGGCTCCATTTTGGCCAGTCAACAGTGCTTGGTTGACGGTGCTTGTTGTGAAAGCTTGGCAAACTTGAAGCAAGTTATCACAAGTTCATTGCTGCCTTCAGCACTTAATTCCCATGTGGGAACTGATGAATCCGGCGCTAAATGTTGCATTGGGTGGAGAGGACAAAAGCGTCAGAGTGCTAAGAGTTTGATAAGAGTGAGAAGATGGCTGTGCTCTTCGGAGTTTGCTCTGATCCTCTTCTTTGGAGGTGCTCAACAAAATCTATGCACTCCAAACAGATGTGCCGAAGCCTTGAAGCAAATGACTGGATGACAGTAGTAGTAGTAACAAGTGCCTTACTAGTAGTAACAAGAAGCTACTAGGAACAAGTGCCACGCTACTAGTAACAAGTGCCACGCTACTAGTAACACCTTGAGACAGTACAAGGATTCCTTCCGGTGTTGGGACGGACCCGGCTTTGGCTCAGGCCCTTCAAGGACTTTGGCGCAGGCATCGCATGCAATTCCTTCCTTCCTAATAGGAATGGCCTCCATCCGAATAGCTTCTTGCTACTAGTAGCTTCTTGTTCCTAGTAGTAAGGCCAAGAGCCCCTCTTAGCGTCCTTGCTCCTAGTAGCGATGCCAGGAGCCCCTAGTAGCGTCCATTGCTCCTAATAGCATCCTTCATTCCTTCCTTTTTATTGCTTCGGTGCTGCGCCTGTTGAGGTGCTACAAAGTCTTCTACAAACCGCACGACAGGTGAAGACTCGGTCCTACCATCGCAGCCACTTGGAATGTGAACTGGATGTTTGCCAAGAGGTTGGAGGCCATTCCTATTAGGAGCGATCGGACGCTATTAGGGGCTCCTGGCCTTACTACTAGGAGCAATGTTCGCTACTAGGAACAAAGGGCATCGCTACTAGGAGCGATCGGACGCTATTAGGTTAGAGACCATTGAATTTTTTAAATCTAATCCCCTTTGCCCGCAAAGGGAATCCGATACATTTCAGGCTGGACGATTTGCTCCCCTTTGCATCAGCTGGAAGCTTAAACATCTAAAGCAGAAAGAAAGGAAAAGAGAGCAAATGAACAATTAGAGGTGAAAAAGAGCCGGTTTCTTTTGGTATCTCCTTTTTGGTCTGACGTTCTTCGTTTTGCCAAGGCTCGAAATGTGGATGATTACATTGAAGAGTTGTACGAGGAACAATGAACACACATCACATCGCTGTGTGGTCAGACTTCGCGAAGTTCGACTCTGCAGTAAGCACTTCTCTCTTTTATTGTGTTCTGGTGCACCTTTAAGAGCCTCGTTTTTTCTTTCTACTAGCGATGGCCTCCACCCTAGTTTAGTAGCGATGGCCTCCAAGCTAATAGCTTCTTGCTACTAGTAGCTTCTTGCTCCTAGTAGTAAGACCAGGAGCCCCTAGTAGCGTCCATTGCTAATCAGGAACAGATGGACCGAAAGGTCAGGGGTGCAAGAAAGCTCTTGCGAATCTGCACAGAGGCACAGCTGTGCATGTTATATTTTTGAATGCACACCAGGCCTAATGTCCAATGCGTTGAAACCTTAGGTCTGGCCCTGACCAGCCCTGCTCCTACAAGAACGCTTTAGAACCTACTAGCGATGGCCTTCAACCTAGTGGCGATGGCCTCCAACCTAGTAGCGTCCTTGCTCCGTTCGTAGCGATGCCCTTTGTTCCTAGTAGCAAACATTGTTTCTAGTAGTAAGGCCAGGAGCCCGTAGTAGCGTCCTTGCTCCTAGTAGCGATGCCCGGGTTCCTAGTAGCTAGTATCGCGCATCAGTTTGTCTTTCTAGACTTGTTTTCCTTAGACCTTTCCTCCTCATGTGTTGGTCTTCTAACAAGGCTTCAAACAGGCTGTTGTTTGGCCCCGATAAGCCCTTTACTACCAGAATACCTTGTGTTCAACTCACCTGGACTGAAATAGGTTCCAGTCTTGGACGAAATGGCAGAGCACTCCACTCTTCTTGGGGTTACTTGGAATGCAAAGGGCTATACACATTGTGTTTTTAGACCTTTTGGACCTTTCTACTAGGAACCATGTTCGCTAGGAACAAAAAAGCGATTAAGTACGACCGTTTATATATTTCTTTTTTGGACCTTTGGACCTTTCTTTTCTTTGCTCTTTTTCATTGCAAAATACCAGGTCTTGAGCAGAGAGTTGCGGGAAAATGCCAAGCGAAGTTACGAACTGGCGGTTGCCATCACAGGCCGAGCAAATCCCTTCCATTTCCTGCGAGACTATGCTACCGTGTTTTCTGGAGAGCATGTTTGATTCAGCTTTGTCCAGGTATATTCCTGATCTTTGCAAACTTCTCCCGATTCCACTCGGCACTTTCCAAGCATCAATGCGGTGAGGTTACCATGCATATTCTCGAGCTCCTTGGAAGAAGATACTCAAACTGCAAAACATCCCGAAAGCCATTGCAACCTCGGAAGTCTGGCACTTGTAATTAATGTAGAAAAAATGCATGTGCTTTACTTGTGATGCGGTTTTCATTTGTCACCTGGGTGTTGGAGGATGTAGCATCATTTGGGAGTCGAACACTGTAAGGTCTGTTTTCTGCAAGCGTGCGCGCGTTCCGCCAGAAGAAACGACACGCACGTGAAAGAGCAATGGCTCACATCGCATATCCGTGAGGGAAATCAGTTTCTGGTGGTTTTCAGAAATTGCGTTCGCAAGCTGGGCGAAGGCCTGTGGTCAAGGGGGGGCGCAGATCAGGAATGAAGCCTGAATGATTTGTGTAATCGTTTTTCGTGGTGGCCTCCAACCTAGTAGCAATGCCTCCAACCTAGTAGCGCCCTTGCTCCTAGTAGCGATGCCCTTTGTTCCTAGTAGCGATCGCCTCCAATCTGATTAAAATCATTCAAGCTTTCAAAAAGGATTCATTGCTAGCGTGGCGTGCTCGTTCGTGGCAATTCATACTGCTGGTGTGCTGGTCCTGCTGAGCTACACGTCAAGCCTAAGTGCAGGAGCGATGATCTCATCTCCAAAAGAGGTGCAGAAACTGCGCAAAAGAGGTTGAGGCTTTCAAGGTATTTCCCACAGAATCCTGTGATCATGGGTGTTCAGCTTTGCCTGGCTCTGCTTGCTGGCTGTTTGGCGTTGGCAGTTCACGTGTTATTTGGCATAATGCGGGTGAAGTGCTTGTGGCGAGATGTAACATGCCAGTGGTTCGGGGGGCACACCCAGCTACAATATACTACAATACAATGAAACATGTTTTGTAATACAACTATGAAGAATTACAAAACATTGTTGGTGTTTGTCCAAAGCTATTTGAGGGCTTGGCGCGGCGGAAAGTGATTAATTTCACAGTTCTATCATTTCCTTGGGCACTTGATTTAAGGTACGAAAGCAAAAGACGCAACGTCCTTGAGAAGGCCAATTTGTAGCAATTCTTCCTTTCTTCCTGATTCTTTCTTCGTTCCTGTTTTTAGACGTCCTTCCGTGATCGGGATATTTCTATATGCACAATTTCTTTTAGTTTTTCCATGTGAGTGGCAGATTGGTGGAGGCCATCGCTACTAGGGTGGAGGCCATTCCTATTACGGTGGGGACATGGCTATTAGGGTGGAGGCCATCGCTACTAGGGTGGAGGCCATCCCTATTAGGGTGGAGGCCATCGCTACTAGGG